GCTTCAAGCGGGAGGGAGGGCCGGAAGGATCTGAGTTCACCGCGGTCACAGGTCAAAGTAGGGATGCGAACTGCAAGAAGTTTCAGTTTGACTTTTTTTTCCCGGTGGCGCAAAGTTGCACAGATGTGTTTCGTGTTGTTTTCTTATCTTCGTCCCTGTCACCCTTGGATCTGTAATGCTGCTGTGCAGTTGGACACGCGGGAAGTACTGCCTTGGTGGCGAAACACTGGTCGCAAGATGTTTCCGTGCCTGGCGCCAGTAGCGCAGCAGGTGCTTGGAAACCAGGCGGGTGCCGCGCAGGTAGAGCGCGACTTCAGTAGTTGCGCTAATCTCCTCACGCGCAACAGGAGCCGCATCGACACCTACTGGGTAGAGATGGTGATGTTCCTCCACGTCAACTACAAGCGTATCCCCGCGTTCAAGGACATTCCCATGATTGCCGCCAAGGATATCAGGACATGTCTGCCGCCACGGTTCAACGGGGGGGATGCTGACCTGGCGGCAGCTGAGGCTACCTTCGACGTGATTGAGAACACCAACAACTCGGACATCGGCGTGTGAAAGTCGCGAGCGTTTCATAAGTAGCCTCTTTCTTTGACTCCGTAAGAAGGACGTAGCAGTCAAAGTAGGTTGAGTCGGAGTCGCATGGGAAGGCTAAGGCTTCTGCTCTTGGGTGTTGTGTTACCGAACTTCAGTTTCGCGGTCGTAAACTAAGTACTGCGCGGCTACGGCAGTTGATTTGATTTGAACGATAGGCTAATTTCAGTGCTGGGTACGATTTCTATTTTGTTCAATGCTATAGCGCCCTTGCCTCTCTTCCTGTACCTTCGTCGTAAACACGCACGTCGTCAAACTCGTCATGTTCTGTAGGGTAATTCATGGGTACCGCGTAAGTACCGGGGGTTCTTGTGTAGACACAGAGTTCTGTAACACCCCCTGTACCCTACAGAATATCTCTGTGCCGCCCCCTGTATCCTACAGAATAGTTCTGTAACATCCTCGCACAATACAGAATAGTTCTGTAGCACCCTCGTACAACACAGAATAGTTCTGTGAGGTTCTGTAACACCCTACAGAACCTCACAGAACTATAGTTCTGTGGGTTCTGTAGCACCCTCGTACAACACAGAACAGTTCTGTGAGGTTCTGTAGCACCCTCGCACAATACAGAATAGTTCTGTGAGGTT